GAGGAGTGCCTACGGGGACTACGGGCCCCTGGGGGCAGGCTTCGGGCTAGAGGACATCCCTGAATGTCCTGCCTGCTCCCAGGGACCAGAACAAGTACAAGGATGCGGCCCACCTGCTCAATGATGCCCTGGCTATCCGGGAGAAGACACTGGGCAAGGACCACCCAGCTGTAAGTAAGAATTGGATTGAGTGTTGCCCTCCACTCCTCACAAGTTCCAGAGTTCCTGCCTATTAATGAACGGCTCTGAATGAAAACACTTCCATTCTCTTACACCCAGGTGGCTGCAACCCTGAATAATCTGGCTGTTCTGTATGGCAAGCGGGGCAAATACAAAGAGGCTGAGCCATTGTGCAAGCGAGCACTGGAGATCCGGGAGAAGGTAAGAGCAGATAGGGCTTAGGGGTACTGGCTAGACAGAGTAGTCGGAACAGCTCTGACCCCCGCCACTGACTCTTCCCAGGTCCTGGGCAAGTTTCACCCAGACGTGGCCAAGCAGCTCAGCAACCTGGCCTTGTTGTGCCAGAACCAGGGCAAAGCTGAGGAGGTGGAATACTACTACCGGAGGGCCCTGGAGATCTATGCCACACGCCTTGGGCCTGATGACCCCAATGTGGCGAAGACCAAGAACAACCTGGTGCTCTGAGGCTGGGCTGGGGGCTAGAAAAGGAGGAGGCAGGGAGAGAGGGCTGATATCCAGGAGGAAGGAAAAGGAAAACTAAGCTTCCTGCATGCTGCTTACCCACTGTCTTTACTTTCCAGGCTTCCTGCTACCTGAAACAGGGCAAGTACCAGGATGCAGAGACCCTGTACAAGGAGATCCTTACCCGTGCTCATGAGAAGGAGTTTGGCTCTGTCAATGGTGAGTCCATGGCTTCCATGTGCCTCCAGTTCATTCAGCAGAAGCACCCAGGACAGTACTTGGCCTTACAGACCTTCCTGCCCAGACTCTGGCAGGAAGCCCAGCCTCACCTGTGGGTGGTGCCTGCAGGAGCCCACTCACTTAATTCATTGCCCTGGCCAGACAAATTGGCAAACCCCATGCTGAGTCTCCTCCTTTCTCTTTCCCCTGCTTTTGTTTTTTGTTTGTTTTTGTTTGTTTATTTTGTTTTGAGACAGAGTCTCAATATATAGCTCTGGCTGTACTGAAACTCAACTATGTAGATCAGGCTGGCTTTGAACTCATGGAGGTTCACTGCCTCTGCCTCTCAAGTGCTGGGATTAAAAGTGTGTGCCACTATGTACATTCTCCACCTTTCTCCACATGACAATTCCTGTTCACTTTGAGGCCCAAGTGTCTTTCCTTCTCAGAAGTAGCCTCTGGCCCCATATTACTAGCCATTTCCTGATGCCCATCCCTCAGCCTGGCCCCTCATTCAAGTGTATCACCAGTCTCTGGTTTAAGGTGTACAAGGGCCTGCCATATCACTCCTAACCCCACCTCATTTATCGCCATTTGACACAGACCTGCGGCCTGTTCATCTGGGTACAGAGGAGGGTCAGTAATGTTTTGGGTTTGGGTTTGCTGCTTGTTCATCTATTCAACAAAACCCAATCCTGGTCCTTTCTACATACTCCTGTCCCCTTCCCCAGACATTAGTCCCTTGTCTAGCTAGCCCAATTGGAAAGACCTATGTGGCAGGCAGGTGACAGTCCCCTGTTCTTCCTAGGAGAGAACAAGCCCATCTGGATGCATGCAGAGGAACGAGAGGAGAGCAAAGTGAGTAGCGCTGTGAGCAGAGCTTCCAAGTGTGCAGAGGGTGTGAGGCTGGGATGTATGGAGCTCCCTAACTGACTGGTCTTTCCCCCAGGATAAGCGCCGGGACAACGCCCCCTATGGGGAATATGGCAGCTGGTACAAAGCCTGTAAAGTTGACAGGTGAGGGCTGATAGGTCTGGGTTAGGGGTAAAGTGAGGACCAAGGAAGTAGTGTCCTTGGTCAGTGAGACCCAGGCCTCACACTATCCTTCGTCTCTGAGACACCTCTCTTCTGTTAGCTCATCTCTCATGGCCTGAACCCAAGAAGACTTTCTGCACTGGGAAAGCTTGGTTCACTCATTCCAGGGTCTCCCAGCTTCTGGTCCTGGTGGCAATGTCCTAGGAGAACTCTAGGGCCAAGCCAGGTTTCTAGCACTAGAATGGTTCTCTCAAGATGGTTCTACCACAGGGGCAGATGAATAGGAAAGGCCAGATTCTGGAGGCCTTTTTGGTCCCCAGAGCCCCATGTGGGCTGCTTGCTGGGTAGAGTTTGAGACTTCCTGCTATCTGTCCACAGTCCCACAGTCAACACTACTCTGCGAAGCTTGGGAGCCTTGTACCGGCGCCAGGGCAAGCTGGAAGCTGCACACACACTGGAAGATTGTGCCAGTCGAAGCCGCAAGCAGGTGGGGCTCCAAGGTGGAGGATGGTGAATTGGGATCTTTGAGGCTCCCTGTGCTGCAGTCAGGGCCTGATGCTTCCTGCCCCCTTTCAGGGCCTGGATCCTGCCAGCCAGACCAAGGTGGTAGAGCTACTAAAAGATGGTAGTGGTGGACGAGGAGACCGCCGTGGCAGCCGAGATGTGTCTGGGGGTGCTGGGCCTCGGTCTGAGTCTGACCTGGAGGAGTCAGGGCCTGCCGCTGAGTGGAGTGGGGTGAGTGTGGGACTAAGATAGGTTCTAAGACTACGAAGAAAGCAGGGCCTAGAGACAATTCTTCCCCCACAGGATGGCAGTGGCTCTCTGCGGCGCAGTGGGTCCTTCGGGAAGCTCAGGGATGCCCTGAGACGTAGCAGTGAGATGCTGGTGAGGAAGCTGCAGGGGGGTGGCCCACAGGAGCCCCCTAATTCTAGGTGAGTTTCTGTCCCTGATTGTATCCTGTTGGCTCCCACGTGACATCACTCCCTCTCAGGAAACACTACCACCACGTCTGCTTTATTCTGCCCCCAAGACTCAACCTGGTGTCCCTTCACTGTTTCACCATGAACAAATCCTGGTCCTCCTTTTCCCTCAGGATGAAGAGGGCTAGCTCTCTCAACTTCCTTAACAAGAGTGTGGAAGAGCCAGTTCAGGTAAGAGTGGAGGGCATCTGGCCTTAGGCAGTCTAGACCCAGGCCCCCACCCCATAGTTCTGGCCCCTTGGTCTATGTATGTCCCCACCCAACTTTTATCTGGTGAGTCTTCATCCAGCAACAGCCCAATTTAGGCTGGGAGGATATAGGTAGAAACAACTAGGGGCAGGCAGGTAAAGGGGAACATAGCCCTTGTCCTGGGGCAGATATATATAGTCAGCCAGTACCAGCTTGAACTCTCAGGCCCTAGGTGTGAGCTAAACTTCAACTCGCTGTATTTACACCAGGACTTGGTCAATCCTTTTCATCATCCCACACTCGTCTGTGTCTCCCTTCCTCTCCCTTCTCTTCACTCCCAGTTACCATGTCTAAGCTACATGCCCTCTCTACTCTGCCCACAGCCTGGAGGCACGGGCCTCTCCGACAGCCGCACTCTGAGCTCCAGCTCCATGGACCTCTCCCGAAGAAACTCCCTCGTGGGCTAAAGCTGAAGGGGCAGCCTGTCTCTAGCCTTCATCTGACACGACCCCTTACCCCAGCCCTGCGCATGGGCCTGCTGCTTGTCCTGCCTGCCCCTCCCAAGGACCCCTGTCTTTTCTGTTCAATCTCAGGGTAACCTCCCTTGTCATCTCAGCCAGGGCCCTGGAGGCCGGGCCTGCCCACCCCAACTCTACTCCTTATTTATTCCTTCCAGCAGGGGGCCTCTCTTCCCTACATTCAGGGCCTGTGGGAGTGGTGGCCTGCCTACCCATCCTCCAAAGCCAAGAACACTTAAGTACTTGCTGTCCTTTAGCATCTTTGACTCCCCCAGCCCTCGGCCGTTGCTTCTGTATATAGAGAAATAAGTTATTGGCCATGTCATCCTCTCAGCCCTCCTCCCTTCAGTCCACGGTATTCCCGGGCCACCACCTGCCTCTCCCTTCTCCAGTGGTACCGCCCAGGCCTTAAATCACCCCTGTTCCGAGTGGTGGTATCTCCCAAGCTCCAAGTTCTAGGAGCAGAACCTCCTGAAAGGGTTCCCGATCTCCTTGCCATCCTGGTTTTGGAGGGATGTGCTCTACCCAACCTTGCAGATGCCCGGACTCCCACAACACCGGGCCCTGTGTTGCCTCCCGGACTTATGCACCGTCCTTTGCTCCCTGCCTCCGCCCCGCCCAGGCATGGCCTGACCCCACCCTGGGCACGGCCCATTGAGCCATCCTGCCACGCCTTCCTTGCCTCAGCTTCCAATGTCCCCTCCACGTACCCCCGCAGTAGGAGGGGCTACCCCATTTGATGGGTGAGGCAATCGCGCTCTCTATTTTCAGATGTTGCTGTAGAAATAAAGACGATTTGAATCTGAGCCAGGCTTGTTTTGAGAAGGCTCAGAACCCCTGAGCATCCCCTAGGGTGGGGTGGAATCTGGTGGAGTGAGGGACACACACATCATGCCCTGTCCCTTGAGACTGGACGTGACATTCTGCCCTTATCCTGAATTGTACGAGGAAATGCTACAGATTTGGGGGTTCTCCTAAAGCATGCCCTTACGGGGTTATAGATAGTTCCGTCTTTGAGTTCTACCCCACAATATGTTCTTGGACTGAATGAGTGTCTCGAGATGATTTTTCATGCATGTGATATTAGTGATGACAGTCCCATCCCACGAAGAACGCTTATAATTCAAGTTTTTCTGGTCCTAAATACGTCGTGCCATCTCGTTCAATGTTTTCAATCTGCAAACCAAGAGGGTGGCTGCCCATCTCAGTTGAACAAAACCATACCTACCCCGGTATGGTTCTAACCTGCGGATTGTCCAAGATACCGCCGCAGGTCGTTCAGGGATTGAGAAGACTACAGACCCCAGAAGGCAGTTCGCGGGTTGCGACTGGAGCGCACGGCCGTGTTGGTTGACTGGGTTGCGCCTGCGCAGCAGTGGCAAATCGAGTATCTAGGAGACTACAGGTTCCACAAGGCAGCGCGGGGCAACTGGAGTCGGAAGTGTTTGCGCCTGCGCGGCGCGGGCGGGGTCTCTAGGGCAGCGCGGCCACCATCTTGGAACGGGAGGCGGAGCAGAGCCGACTGGGAGCGACCGAGCGGGCCACCGCTGCCGCCATGAACCCCGAATAGTGAGTGAGCCCCGCCCGCGCTGTGTGGCGCAGCCTCGATCATGTCTATGGGGCTGTATGCTTATCGAAGTTGTCTGGCCCTGGTCAGAACTGCGCGGCGGACCCCACATCCGGGTCCCTCTTCCGCTGACCCCCCCCTACATCCGGGTCCTGCCCCTCCCCCCGGGAACCCCTGGACCCCGGCTCAACACCCCGAGTTCTCTCAGTCAAGGCCCGGAGGCGACAGCCTCGAAGGGCAGCACTTGGAGCCCGCAGCGCCGGCCCTCCCAGGCCTTTTCGGTTGTGACCCTGCAGATTGGTCTCCCTGAGCCTCAGTTTCCCCACCGCTGCTTGACCACGGGCAGGCGGTTTGGAGTCCATCGTAATAATTTCTGGTCCCCAGAGTCGAGTACTTTCAGATTGGCCGTGAACCACTCTGCCTTTAACTTTCTTCTGAGGCCGGTTTTCCGGGCTGGCCCAGACAGAAGCTGACCAGACAAGGGGAGCCCAAGCCCCTGCTTGATTCACATCCCTGCAGGTCCTAACCTCTGGGGCTGACATTTGCCCTGCCTGGGTCGCACTATCCTGTGGCTCCCGTGTCCGTCCTTTTCTGCCCTCTCACCTTTGCTCAGGCCTCCAGTGCCACTGTCACGCGGCTTCCCTCACCTGTCACACTGCCAGAGAACTTTAGGTGTGGGATTTGCTAGCTCGCTTGGAGTGGGATTTTTATTCCTCAAACTCAAACCCTTGGAGTAGATGGCCCACATACAGTTTTGCACCCGTGTTGTCTTCTTCCCCTTCCCCGCTTCCTTTTTCTTCCCCAGCTCTAGGCCTCAGATTTCCTTGAGAGAGGGTGAAGCTCATCAGGGTTAGGAGGGGAACAGAGAAGGGAGGCTCAGGCTGTCACAGAGTCTGACAGACCTAGTCTCCAGTCTCACAGTTAGCCACTGCTTAGGGTAAGTCATTTATTTCCCTTCTCTGACCTGTGGTTTCCTCACTTGGTTGCACTGTTGTGAGGTTTTAATGAGACGATGTATTTAAAGGACTTCACACAGGACCAGTTACAGTTCAGGAAGTATTAACTGCTGCCTCCATGGTCACTTGTTGACTGCCTCTTATTAGTGACTTCATCTCAGGCTCTTTCACACTTGTTTTGACTTCATGTGTTCCAGCATTCATTTTAGGGTCCTAGGCTGGCACACTATAAGGCCTAGTGTGGGTTTCCTAAATAATTCCTACAAAACAGCACCAGAGTCTCAGCTCTGGCACCCAGCTGGTTGTTCCTTGGTAAATTGTGTTCCTTTATTTTGCCACAAAGTGAGAATTCAGACATAGCAAGCTGAAGGTGTTGTGGGCTAGCTTATTGGGGATAGTAAGGGTCTATTTTTTGTCCCTTTTCAGGACAGTGGGAGGATCTAGTGAGCACCATGACATACTAAGCAGAAGCATGCTTCCCTGTACTGTCATGCTCACTGCAGGGGCAGGGGTGGCAGAGGGAACTTCTTGCCTGCCTTCATACCTTCCCATCTTCTCTTGCCAGTGACTACCTGTTCAAGCTGCTTTTGATTGGTGACTCGGGTGTGGGCAAGTCGTGCCTGCTCCTGCGGTTTGCTGTGAGTAAGAAGCACCCCCATGATATCCACCTGGGGTCCTAGCTGGCCACTGGGAGGAAAGAGGGACAACTCAGAACACAGTAGTTGCAAGAAAGACCTGAGAACCAAGAATGAGGTTGCCGGAGCTGCCAGAAGAAGGGCCCAGGCCTCGAAAGTTGGGGTGCTTAGAACTAAGACTTGGCAGTGAGGAGCACAACAGGGGTAGGGAGCTGGAGGGAGGACTTTCAAATAGTTTTTGGGCCTGTCTGTTCAGGCTATTTGACTGGCCCCAACCTTTCAGGATGACACATACACAGAGAGCTACATCAGCACTATCGGGGTGGACTTCAAGATTCGAACCATTGAACTGGATGGCAAAACCATCAAACTTCAGATTGTGAGTATGGCTTTTCTACAGCACTGAGAGAGAAGTGAGGGTTCCCTTGTGGCTGACCTACCCTTTTCCTCCTGTCTCATAGTGGGACACAGCTGGTCAGGAACGGTTCCGGACCATCACTTCCAGCTACTACCGGGGGGCTCATGGCATCATCGTGGTGTACGACGTCACTGACCAGGTACTCCTGGACTTACCTCCCAGACTTGCTTCCTGAGCCTTGACTTTTTTGTTTTGTTTTGTTTCTCAAGACAGGGTTTCTCTTTAGCTTTGGAGGCTGTCCTGGAACTCACTCTGTAGACCAGACTGGCCTTGAACTCACAGAGACCTTCCTATCTCTGCCTCCCGAGTGCTGGGATTGAAGGCGTGTGCCACCACCGCCTAGCCTGAGCCTTGACTTTTGACTCTTACTCCTTTTCCTGTTTTCATTTCCCTTAAGCTTTCTGGAAGGTAGACACCATGCTGAATTGCTTCATAAAAAGGGCTACAAGCCACAGAATCGGATCCTACCAAGACCCTGTCATGAAGTCTTTATGGAACCAGACTTCATGGCTCCTGCTACCTTATTATAGACCTTCCAGACTACCCGTCTTTGGTGGCAGTTAGTCAGTTGGTTGGTTACTGCTGGTTCCTTGCTTCCTAAAGTCTGCAGACAGAGCAATTGGAAGGCTCTAAACAAGAAAGTGAGAAGCCCAGCGTAAACAGAAGTTCTGGAATACTGTGTCTCCTGTGGTGGGGTCAGCAGCCAGAAATTGTCCTTACAGTGTCTCACAATTTATAAAAACTGTGGTCTTTAGCTTTCCTTGGTTGCTTACCCCACAAAATGGCTCTATTGCCAACCTGACCCAAATTCCTGGGTTTAAGTGACCCTCCTCCTAAGCCTCCCTGGTAGATGGAGCTACTGGGTACTCACCCCTGTGCCTAGCTTTTGACGCTCATGAGAAGCCCCTCATATTTACACCTTAAAGATGAAGACTTGGTTCAGGCTGGGGCCGTGACTTGCTAAGTTAGTTAGTGGCAGAGGCCAAAAGCCTAGTCTCCTGATCCATCTGCTTTGCTTTTTCTGCCAATCAGTACTGGGCTGGGAGAGTTCCTGCTTTGGGGGGCAGTGGCCACGTAACAGATACTCCTGATCCCCGTGCCTTCATCTCCCAGCCCTTCTAACAAGCTAGGTGAGCCAAGTGCCACTCAGATCACCAAGGCTTTAATTAACTGTTAGATCCAGTCATCTTCTTGCCAAGATTGACTCCTTTGACTTTGTACTGTTTTCTTCTCTTTCCTCAAAAATATTATCTGTATTAGCCCTTGTCCCCCAATAAGCAGACACTCTGCCAGTGAGCTACAACCCCAATCCCTTTGGTCTCTTTTTTATTGGCTCACCCTTGCTACCCATTAACCCCACATTTTCTGCATCCTAACTAACTCCAGCCACTTCTGTGGTTTGGCTTTTGTCTTGTGTTCTGGGACTCTTGATGTATGTTTTGAAATTCTTATGTCCAGACAGATGTCACATGGGTTCCATCTCTTGTGTGCTTGCACTGGCCCCTGGTGTCTGTAATGGGAATAATCTTCATGCTCTTACCCGGTGAACTAAATGGTGAGGCCTCTGTGCCCTAGTTTGCTTTCTGTTGCCACAGTAAACACCAGGTGGGAGGAAAGGGCTTGGCTCATCGGGTAATAGTCCATCATCTGATGAAACCAAGGCATGAATTCAAGCAGGAGCCAGGGGGAAAGGTGCCTACTGTTTTGTTCCCCATGGGTTGCTCAGCTTGCTTTCTTAGACCACCTAAGGCCACCTGCCAAAGGGTGACACTGCACAGTGAGCTGGGTCATCAACCATCAATCAAGAAAATCCCTATAGACATGCTCACATGACAGTCTGATGGAGGAAGTTCCTCAGTTTAGATGCCCTTTCCAGATGCTTAGGTAGGTTTGTGTCAAGTTGAACAATGCTAACTAAGCCAGGCGGTGGTAGCACATGCCTTTAATCCAACACTTGGGAGGCAGAAGCAGGCAGATTTCTGTGAGTTCAAGGCCAGCCTGGTCTACAGAGCGAATTCCAGGACAGCCAGTCTACACAGAGTAAACCCTGTCTTGAAAAACAAAAAATGTAACTAGTATACCTTGTTTCCTACATGAAGAACTTCTTTTCCAGAGGTGTTAGTAACTTGCCTCTGATGTCCCAGTAAAGAAAGACAAAGCCCTTTCTCTGCCTTCAACTGCCTCTATGAGCTCCATACCAGCTGCAGGATTCAGATTCTAGTGCAAGCTTCTCCATCTCCCCTGCCCGCCTTCTGCATCCTCATTTTGTAATATAATTCTTGTGTGACCAGAAAACTTCCCTTCTCCATAGTTAGTCTCAAGACACCTCTATTCTCTCCCCATCATTTCAGATCTGTCCCTTCATAATAATAGCAGTAATGAGGATAATAGCAGCTCTTGCTAATTGAGCACTTGTTATGAGACAGGCCTGGTGCATTCATTCCTCGTACAAACAGCAGCTCTGCTGGGAGGTATTATCTGAACAAAAGAGGAAACTGAGACCCAGGTCAGGTGACTAGATATCTGAAGTCACATAGATGATCAAGTTTGGACGATAGCCTACCGTCTAAACCTATTCTCTTCTAGATTATTCTAGCTACTTCTCCGTTGCTCTGCATTTTGTTAGTGTGATCTAATCCTGCCCAGACCCTATTTCCAGAACACAGATAGACTCCAGTTACTCTTGAGCTGAGAAAACCCTCACTGTCTCATGGGCATGCCAAGTTTATACAGGCTAAGACCTTTTCAGCTCTGTCCTGCCTACCCCTTACCATTTCCTCCCAACCTGCAACCTGGTGTTTTCCCACTTCCCACTCCCCAAAGACACCACACCCTCCCATCCTAGCAGATGCTGTCTCCTCAGGTGGTAGCTTTTGCATTAGTTGAGTCCATGCCTGCAAGCTGGAGTCAGCCACTGGCTGGTGACTACTCTGTTCTGGTTCTAGTTCTTGGGTTGCCACATGGAAGAGAACCAGGGGGGAAACTAAGCCTGAAGTGGGGGAGACTTGAGTTGTATCCCCATGCTCAGGGCTCCTACCTTTCCCTCAAAGGAGCCCTGTTCTCCAGGCCTGGCTAGACTGGGTTTGGGAGTTCAGTAACTTTGGACACTGTGCCTAGGAGTCCTACGCTAATGTGAAACAGTGGCTACAAGAGATAGATCGCTACGCCAGTGAGAACGTCAATAAACTCCTGGTAGGCAACAAGAGTGATCTCACCACCAAGAAGGTCGTGGACAACACCACAGCCAAGGTGAGCAGGGCCAGCCCTGGCTGTCAGGGGGCCAGGGCTCACTTCCCTTCACCCCTTCTCTCCCTTGCCCTTATCTCTTTTTTTCCCCTTGGCAGGAATTTGCAGACTCTCTGGGTGTCCCCTTCCTGGAGACGAGTGCCAAGAACGCCACCAACGTTGAGCAGGCATTCATGACAATGGCTGCAGAGATCAAAAAGCGGATGGGGCCAGGAGCAGCTTCTGGGGGTGAACGGCCCAACCTGAAGATCGACAGCACCCCTGTGAAGCCAGCTAGTGGTGGCTGTTGCTAGGAAGGGCACTTGGGGAAGGGACACCTTCTCCAGATGATGCCCCTGGAGGGGCAGGAAGTGCCTCCCTCTCCTAGGGCATTTGAGTCTGTGGCTTTGGGGTGTCCTGGGCTCCCCATCTTCCTCTGGCCCATCTGCCTTCTGCTCTGAGTGCTGTCCTGTCAGGGCCCCCTTGGAGGACATGCAGAACCTGTGGCAGGGGTGGTCACAGGAACTGCTCTGCTGCTGCCTCTAGGTACCTTGAAAAGATGCCCACCATGCACCTTTCTTTGGAATGAGGGCTCAGCTGTCTGTCACTCACCCCCATGTATGCTGCACAAGTGACCATGTAGAGCTCAAAGCATACCCCAGTAGAGAAAAACTTCTTCCTTCCTTCCTTCCTTCCTTCCTTCCTTCCTTCCTTCCTTCCTTCCTTCCTTCCCAGTAGCTGAGGGCCTCCCTGCCTCTGCTTCCCTGGCTGCAGGCAGTGGCCAGGGGATCCAGGGTCTCAGATCCAGGGTCCTGCTTCGGACCTCAGGACAGGCAAGGGGGCTGCAAAAAGCCAACAGCCCACTTTTTCCTCACCCCTGCCTCCCTCCACCGCTCCCACACTCAGCTTGAGCCGTCCAGCTACTGTTGGGTCTTGAGCACAACTAGGGTAGGTGGGCGGATGGCTGTGCTGGGCCTGTGTCTCAAGCCCAGAGGGAGCCTGCTCCTGCCTCCCCCTGCCCTGCCAGAGCCAGGCCTATGTGCTGCCTGCCCACCAAGCCCCTTTGTCCCTGAGAAAGGCGGAGGTGGAAGGCCCACCGTGCCAATGGCCGGGCACCAGCCTTAACCCTTACTCTGCCAGCACCACCACCCCCCCCCCCCCCCCCACCCTCTGGCACAGCTTCCTGCAGAAAACCTTTGGTGATTACCTGAGAAGCCATGTCCTTTGTGCTGTGGTCTTGCCAGTCTCACCCTCCCCTCCCCTCCCCTCCCTTTCTCTCCCCTCCAGTGTGTATTTAAAATCCCTGGGCTGCCCCTCTGGGAGGGAGCCTCTTCTCCCAGGTTCCCCTTTGGTGTCATGTCAGGCATTTTGCAAGGAAAAGCCACATGGGGAAAGATGGAAAAGGATGAAAAAAATAAATTTCCACTGGCCCTTGGATAAGCCGAGGGTTTTTGCAAGGAAGCTGTGGTGACTTGAGTGGTCTGTGGTCTGAGTCCGGCTTTGAGTTTCTGGATGGAACTGGAATCCAGAGTTTGATGTGATACATAGGGGGTCCTGGCTCAGACTGCCCTAAGTTTGTTGGTAAAAGCCCTTGACCCACATTCTGGGCCTGGTAAAGCCTGCCATGCTGCTGTGGGATGTCCCCAAGGGCCCAGCACGGTTCTGTCAGAGGACGGCAGGCTGGAAGCCATCGGGTGATCCACCATCAACACCCACTGGATGACTTGCGAGGCGTGAAGTTGGGCAACAGCTGGACCCAGGATAGGGCTTTGGGCCCCACAGATGTACTGCATCGCAGTTGGTCTTCACCTCCAGTTCCCCTCTTCTGCTTCCTCTCAGGCTTCAAGCCAAATGCCAGCTATCCTGCATAAGTCAAATGCTTCACTTGAGGGCCTGCCTCAGCCTGTCTCCACAGCCAGCACTGTATGTGAGGATTAGAGACGAAGTACTGAATGTGGCTGTGGTGGGATGGTTGTGTGAGTCTTGAACTAGGACCGTGCGGCCGGGTCTTCTGTGTTCTGACGTGCAGCGGTGGCGGTGCTGGGCCGTCCCAGCTGGCAGAGGCTGGCGGAGGGG